AGTAAGTATCAGAAATTTTAGCAATCTTTTTTTTTTTCTTTCTTTTAGTGACCTGGTCTAAGGACTTGCAGCAAGAGTTCAGCTGAGAGTACCTCAAGCCCTAGTTATTTGCAGAAAGAGTTGAGGGGTGAGTACAAGCTGTGAGCTTGAACGGACCTTCGACTAAGGCATCTTTATCTGTTTCAATGAAAAATACTCTTCTTATATCTTTGCATATCTAAAAAGACCTTCAAAGCTAATAGTCAGGGGAAAGGCCCTGTTTCTTTCAATTACTTACTAGTGTAAATGACAGGCACGTTGAATACAGCCAACAAACAACCCTGGAGTAAACAAAATCAGCATTTATTCTTCAATCATCTGTTTACAAGACTGCTCTGTTTTTCACAAAAGAACACATACTAGAGTTACATGTGTTAATCTACAAAACTAGATGTGCAAACCAAAATGATATAATGTAAAAATCCACCTGCTTCATCATTTACTTCCAATATGCCTGTCATCTAACTTTAAGAGAAGTTTGCTGTGGGGTATACAAGCATGAGTTATGCTGCATCCAAATGGGATCACTAGCTCTATTGATGTAGCTAAACAACATATTTACAAAGAGTTATTTCTACCAGTCTTCATTTAATATTTAAAACAGGTAGTTAGGTGTTCAGCTATTAAGCCTTCATGGAAGGTGAAACAGCCTAATGTTCCTAATTGGATTCATGCAATGTTTAGTTTCGTTCACACGAGACACCATGACAAGTATATATTGGTGATGGCAAAAGTAATACGTAAAGATGCAGCATCCTGCTGGAAAGCAGGAACGAATTTGGAACACGAGTGTTCGCTCATCACTGCTGTGGGTTGAGATGCTAAAGCAAAACTGCAGTCGTTATCACATACTGAAAGTTCACAAGCTAAGAAGTTCACTGGAGGGGCCACAGGCAGGGGATGGGATGTTTTCAGATCCCTGTCAGTGAAGAAGAGCTGACAAACAGTTGCGTTTCTCAGAAATCCTGCTGGTGGGGGCTATTTTGCACTAAAGACACTGTCAGCAATTTGTAATGCCACCATTAAATTGCAAACAGGAAGATGGTAAAATATCTTGACCCTTACTGCAGCAGTTTTACCACTGCAGAAAACTGTATCTTGACTGAACTTCCTTAACTATTAAAAATAAACGTTCCTTTTATTTTAACTATTTCTTGATACTGGAACAAAGTAGGGTTTTTTGGTGGGGAGGGGGTATTTAAACTGGGCTCTTGTGCTACTCACTTCAAAAAGGTGGACTAAACACTTCCCCTCATTTAATTCTGTGAAGCTGCATTGTTAATACTGGTTAGGACAACTTAGAGCAGAATTCAGCTTAGGCTTTAACTTTATTCAGCTTCTGGCATAAGAAGGAATCTGGAAAAAACAAAATTTTTTAAACAGCTGCTGTTGTCATCTCCAAACTGGATTATCACAGATTGCCAACTGCTTATACCGTGAGGGTACTCAGAGGAGCGAAGGGGTGCAGGATCCCACAACTATGAATATGGTAAATATAGATATCTTTCTGTGGTAAAGGACGTTTACCCATTTCATAGCCTCCACGATATTCAACATGTAAAACAAGCTGAACAGCTGCTAGTGTTCCACCTTGAGCCAAAATGAGTTTGGTTCTAATCGTGATGCTAATATTAGTCTACTCAAATATATCTTCGGTAAATCTCTTTCAGATTTTCTCTAGCTTCGTCTCTCTGCTGTATCTATAGAAATGGGAATAACAGCATTATAATTCTTATAGGCATCAGATGATGGCTGCCTTTCAGTGTCTGAAATGTAAACTCATGCTTCTCTGAGACCCTAGGAAAATTTGTCAGTTACTGAGCCCCTTCAACTTCCAGTGAATTCCTACAGGTCATTGCTATAAAATAGTCACCATATAATTTTATTGATAAAGTTGCCTATGTGAACAGAAAGCTGTTTTCCTTTCTGCAGTCCGGCGGGGAGTCTGTGTGCAAACTTGAGAGTCAAGTCATCACGTGGGCTAACTGTAACCCCATGATAGGGCCTTTAATTTTTACGTATCAGGAAAAATACAGTGGCATACACAGACCAAATATGCATTTTGACACTCTACCACTTCCACCATAACTGATATTTTTATATCATTCTGTTCCCTCGTTATGACTGTAGTACCTGCAGCCATCTCTGACTATCTGTGGGTATACAGCTAAATGGAGTAACCACAGCTAGTAAAGTGCCCTTCATACCCAAACCTGCTCTCAGGCACAAGTAATTCACAGTTTCCAAATTAAATCTGTTAAGCCACTATGCAACAAAAAAGATCAATAAGCAAACTCACACAGACGCACTTCCTTTACCTAGTAGAAAATCCATAATGATATGTCAAAGCAATAATTTAATATAGTAGTCTTTAGCTATTAGTCATTATAGAATGTATTTAAGGGAAAAAAGAACCAACAACAAACCTGAACACACACACACACACACACACACACACAAAACACCATGCAGCTCAAAGTGCAATGAGACAGAATGAGCCTTTAGAAAGCCACTGAAAAAGAGCTGTCTAAAGTATTATTTCACTAAATTATAACAGCAAGAAAAGACACAGATGAACATCTCTGGAGGCATCTTTCTCAGATACAGTGCTATACACAGCAGTAAAAATTATACAGTAGTGTCATTATTTTAGCCTCGTTAGCAATAATGACCTTGCTTATGCACATACCTCCCTTTTGACTTACACTGCTGCTGTTGGAGTGCCTCTGGGGCAACAACAAGAAGTATGCTTGGGTTTTTTCCTCCTGTGCTGGACACCTGCAAGGCCTTTGCTTGTGCTAGACTCTGGGCACCAGCTGGCACCTTCAGCTGCACCAGCTCAGAAAAGCACTCAGTAAAGCCTCTTCCAGCTGACCCCGCTCAACTTTATCCCCTGCTACAGGAGCTGTTCTAAGGATGAAGTAGTGGGGCAGTTAATGGGCAAGACCTGGAGGAACTGTGGCTGATGCAGTGCAAAGCATTCTAACATCGGCCTTATCTTTATTGCACTAAGCTTTTAATAACTACTCAGATGTACATATCCACAAGTATTAAATTATCTTAATTCAACTGAGCAATAAAGCAGATAAGAATACAGACCCACTGTAATTTTAGCATAGTTACCAAAATTCAAAATAACATGCAGATTATTCATGCTTATGTAAAAGCCCCTCACAGGAAAAACAAAATCCCAAATGCAATCCTATAACACTGGCACTAAAGTGCATAATGAAATCTTGCCATTCCAAAGTTAGCCTACTGTTTTTCAGTCTGATTGTTGACGTGTTCATTGTACAAGAAGCTAACATTAACTTGCAGGCAGTCAGAATAGCAGCAGGAATTCCAACCTTAACAGAAAGGTGCCTGGTAGATTTTCTGTTTATTTTGCACCAGCAAACATGAATGGTGACTAAACATAAGCAGCCCAGTGCATTGATAGAAGTCATATCCTGATTTTCTTGCTTTGAAGCCACTTAGTCTTTTCTTAGAGAAACTTCCTTTTGTATTAGTGGAATTTTACTTTAGTTAAGACTATGAATAAAGCTCTGAAGGTCATAATGCTCTATATGGTATCCCACAGTTATATCATGATTCTTTCATTGTGCACTAGTAGTAAAGGTACTCACATAGTTGCAACAAGTAATACAACACATCAGTATTTCTTAGGTTTCTTAGGTTTCATAGCTGTAAGAAGCCCATTTACAGGAGTGATCTTAACAGAGCTACTACAATGGCTTTAAAACATTAGATCAAACTGGTCATAGAGACTGTCATGGCCATGATGTCCCATTAATAGGCCCCTTTTATTTCATATATTAATGCAATTCATAAAGGACGTATGAAAAAAGTATGAAAAACAATTCATTGGGTGGTGATGAATAACACTGTTAAGTTTTATCTTTGTGTTGATCCCCTTTAACAAAATATATTATTTAAATATAAATATCTATGAAATGTATAGATAAATATATTCAGATGGCTACGTTAATGTGTAGCTTGATCAGAACTCAATTAACCAAAGAAAATCTAAAGGCACCGCAATATATCAGCATCATGAAATAAAACAATCATTATACTCTGCATTTATGTAGTACTGAAACCAAGCGATCAGAAAGCCATATACAGCAGGGAATAAGACTTAGTATTTTTACTTCACAGCCTAGGCAACTAAGACTCAGATTGACTTGAAGATGGGCCATACTCAAGACAATATCAGGTAAAGATTTCAGCTGTTTTGACTCCTAGTTTTGTTTCCTAGTTAACGAATCAGAGTGGCTTGGAAGCAAAAAAAGAAAAGAAAACAGTTCAGAAAAGCAGATGATTTTCAGTTCGGCCTGTAGCCAGAGGTCGTAAGAGCAGAGGACTGACTCTCTTCTGTGCCAGTAGTCTTACCTGGTCCTATTAGCATTAAACAAAGTAACTGCTGTAAAATCATCATCTGTTAAAATAACTCTGAATAACGCTTGTGTATTGGAGAGCACAGTCTGTATGGGTATGATTGAGTAGTACCTGGTTTTCTTACTTGTTTAATTAACCCAATGGCACTTAAAACAACAGTAATGTAGCAGGCTAGGAAAACCTAAAGTGTATCATAGATGCAGAAAATTCACCTATGTGCAAGGAGAGCCTTATTTCTCACTTCCATTGATATTATATTAACATGGCTTTAACTTCAGTCAAGTTAATTCTTAGCTCATTTTAACGTGACAGGAAAATCAGACTTCAAATCTTCTGCATAATACAGCTTTATCTTGGCTGTCTTTTTTTTTTTTGTATAGCAATTTGATTTCTGTCTCAAATTAACCTTGGCTACAAATCTAACGCAGTGACAGGTTGTCTTCTGGGTTGAGATGAGAAACAGCTAATTAAACATCCTAATTTGGACTTTAAGGAGCCTTTGATAGCTAAATGAGGATGAAAGACAAGACAGAAAAAAAGATCATTGTGAATCCAAATTAAAGTAGCATAATCGGCCATGGAGAACACGGTGTTCAAGCAAAAACACCTTCCTGCAAACTGCAGAAATACTTTCCCTCTTTTGATAGCTGAATAGAGAGGAAGCAGCTCAGCAATGCTTGGACTTGTCCTGCAGCTAAAGTGCTGTTGGTCCGTTTAGTAAAAGTCTGGGTCATGGCAGGGGGCTAAAGCACCAAGACTGCTGATATTTTCAAATCTCTTAGCAGCAGTAACCACACAGCAGCTTTTCTGCAAAATAAACAAAACAAGAATCCAGTTAATTCAGCAGTACACTTTTTCATTTGGTTACGCATTCTAGGACAACCACATGGTGGTTTCTTTGTGCATGAGCAAAACAAAGCAGTGCTGAAACGTCTTGCTTACAAAGGGTTCCTGCAGCCAGCCTATTTGTGAAATGTTTTATATAATACCAAAAAGACAAGGCCTCTCTGTGAAATGAAGAAATGGTTCTGGAGGTCTCTCTTGAAATGCAGCTACTTTGCTTTTTTGCCGCTCTTGTCATCCAGATCACAGCACAGAGAGGCAGCGCGCAAAACCTCTCCATTTGTTTGTCTTACCACTGCAAGCATTTTTGATGCCAGCTCAAAATCAGCTGGCACTTGAGCATATTATTTTGGGTTAAATGTGGTAACCACTCTACTTAAAGGGATTCTTTAAAAACAAAGCACTGCTATGACTTCAGATACACTCATTAATTAAACTGAAATAAACTCCCAAAAGAAAAACACATGCAGAGGAAATAACGCTGCAAAAGCCAGAAACCAGATTTTCCTGCAGGTAAGATCATGGATAGGTTACTACATTACAAAGCTATAAAAGGTTTATTTGAAAATTATTTTGCCTGCTGATGGACAATCCATTTATCTCAAAGGTGATCTTGGTTGTCATAGAAAATTGTGTAATACAGCGTTTCCTGAATTAGCGATAGAGAATTTTCAACATTTCGTTGCTGCGCAGTTGGTAGCTTGAAATGGGAAAGATAGGACTAGTTTTGAAAGTTCCTTTGTAGAAGCACACAGGTGAGTGGACCAAAGCTTCATGTAACCTGGTTCAGCACCAGTCAACTGGGGATGAACGCTGAGCATCACAAAGAGGTATCCTGGCTCGGTTCCCACTAGGCACCTTGATGCTGGGACATGACTGTACCTGTAGCTTCGAATAGCAAGTACGAGAGACAATAATGGTACTTTAGCCCTCACTGACCTCCAGCTTGCCATGGAAAGGCAGCTTCAAGTACCTGAGATAGCTCATTTAAAGCTCATTAACTTGTGTTTTACTACAGTACACAGCATAAGATCTGCTCAGATCTTATACTTAGTGAAACAACACAGATTTCAACCTCTGATAATAATCTTTCTTTTTTAGATGTTTCTGGACAAAACGTGTTGCAAGCAAAACCCAGCACATCCCTTGCACCATCAAGCAGACCATGAACGATGACAGCATTAAAAACTTGCACTCAGTGAAAAGTGGACTCCTTTTATTTGGTGTCCTGGTTATTACTTGTGATGCAAGGCTAAAAGGAAGTGGTTATTACAATGTGTGTGTTCTCAGTCTTGTTCACGTCTTGACCCTCCACTGCATTTTGCCCTGAGATGCCTCCAGAAACTGAACGGTTCCCATGGTCCTGCAGCAGAGGCACCAGTTTCTGTGGTAGTTCATAAAATGGGCTGTGGGAATGAGTGTACTGGTTTATGGAGATACTGTGCTGTCTGAAGCAGCCTGATTTCATAGTGGCTGAGTGAGTATGCTTTGGTCAAAGACCACGGACAGAACATGAGAGCAGACTTATGTCGCCCTGACCCCCCTAGGGGAGGCAACAAACCCAGCCTGAGAACCACTAATGAAGTGGTTGTTAACGAAAGGGCAAAGACAGGGACCCAGAAAAAGGACAGAATGCACTTTGTCAAAATTGCTCTGGTTGCTACAGGCTAAAAGAGGTGCCTGGTTGGAATTGATTGCCACTCCTCAAAAGTGTCGAGCAACTTCTTTTAAGGGACACCTCACTTTCGTTCCACTACAGTTACTGGAACTGCCCGGAGGGTCTGGCCTGTGCCTTTGCTAAAAAGTAATTACTTTTCATATTTCTTCGCTTTTTAAACCATACTCCTAACCACAACATGAAAACCTGAACGCTTTCAGCACTGAAAAGTTATTGGGTGAAATCCTGCCTCATGAGAGTCAGTGGGAGCATAACTATTCCTTTAAAATGGCCAGGGTTTGCAGCACATATGGCTTCGTATACATAAGGCGTTTTGCACAGTGCTGTGATTCAGTATAAGTGATACGGCCAGTTTATATTTTGGATGCTTTCCAAACAACAGTGAGGATGTTGGTGGTGAATACATTTTGGACTGTGCAGTTTGGACTATGCAGGGTTTTTCGCCTCCCACTGATCCCTTCCACAGGGGCTACAGCATTTATGTCTGAAGAAACACTCAGGGCCTGAAACAAACCTTCTGTTTGGCAGCTCTTTCAGAGAGGTTACTGAGCCAGAAGTGCTGGGGACACACAGTCACCTTTAGCCTTCTTCTAGGAAGGAAGAAAGAAAAAAGAAATAAAGATGCCATTATAGGAAACGTTAATTGAGGATCAATCACATCTTACTTCTAATTAAGGTAACGGCAGAACACTGCAACATCAGCATGTTTAGTAAAGCTATCATGTAAAGCAGAAGAAGCCTGAACAGGAGAGGAGCTATAAGGATGAAATGAGTTGTAAGGCTTCTGTTAGGGTAGGGTTTCCACAGCAGAGAACTGGAGAAGACAAGCACCCCACCAGGTGAGCAGCTCATGTTCTTGTAACATTTGAAAAAAACAGCCTGTCCCCCAGGTTTCAGGCATCAGGTCTTCACTGGAGCCCTACTAACAGAATCACAAGTATCCTATGGATCTTTCTAAAGAGATACCTACCTGTGACAAACTCTTGTATTTTTACTCTATATGCACATTTATAAGTCTTGTTATAATCTCATGGGAATTACTGTTCTGGGCAATTTTCATGAAAATTATACTTCAATTGCAATTATAATATTTTATTTGATTCTTATTATTTCCCATTATACTACTTGTTATCCTTACTCTGTGTAACAGAAGCATCTCTCAAGAACATAACTTCCAGGAAACTTCTCAGCCCAAAAAACACAACACCTCATCAACAGAGCTACTGCTGTTGGACTATTGTCATGATCTTTTTGTTTTAGTACGATTATTTTATTGATTAATAATATGGTCTACTAATTCTTAATGATGGCTCTAATTCAAAAGGCACCTTGACATGTACATGCTAGGCACTGCAGCTGTTATTTTATCTAACACAGATGTGCTTTGTTTGCAATGGAGGAAGGGAATATTGTGCTTCAAATGCTATAAAAATTTTAGAATCTGCTTAAATTGATCCTCTCTTGAACCAGACTGGACTGACTTAGATTCAGCCAACAGCAAGCTCATCAACAGTTTGAATCTCCCAAACTTACTGGCTCCTTAAAAGGGGAATAATGAAAACTATTTAAAAACATGTTGACCCTCCAACTCGGCCAAATGGATTTTTTTCACCTGAAAAAACTACTTCCTTTGTGATGACCACTACGCTGGCTATCTTCAAAGGTCAAGAAGGTGCTTAAGTACAAATATATGCACTGGCTGAGGCTTCTGGCTCTACTGGGAAAGGTATCTTTTGGGAAGAAGTAGGAAGAAATCTAAGAGCACTTATATGGAACTTCAGGAGATCCTGAAAGGATTTTCAAAGTAGTAAGCAGAACCACCCCAAACTGGAAAACTCCCCCTTTGAACATATAGTAGTTCAAAGCTTGTTTTGTAAACAGCCTCATTTTGCTAAGACATGGATCCACTCGGCAACACATAACAATCGCATGACCCTATATTTCTTGCCAGACATGCAAGAACCCATGAGCAAGTGTGAGCATGCAAACTATAACAACTAAATAAAAGCAAAGAGACACATGGCTCACAGTGGCAAGAAATACAGCAGCAGCAGCACACACTCAAAAACATAGGAGAAAAATGTCAAAGCAAATAGTGATGTGGCAACACAAAAAGAAAACAGCAGATTTACAGCGCACAAGGATATTCAAATTTAGGAACCTGGAGTCTGCAGTGGAGCTTGTGGTCTGAAAACCATGGGTGTTTTAAGGCAGCAGTTGCACTTATTCTCCAGCTAAAGGAAAACCAAAAAGCTATTAAGTGTTTTTCCTAGAATCTTACAATTTAACAGTTACCTCCTACTGGTCATGTGTTCTGCCATCATGGAATGCTGTGGTTGTAGTACACTTTATATCAGATTGCAGCTCATGCATGAAACTGGAAAGCTTAGAAAGGTTTTTCTGCTTCACAGAAAAAACAAAATCAGGTAACTTTCGGGCATTTTATGTACATTATGAACAACATCAATGAGATAGCATTGTAATATTCCACCTGGACGTACAAAAACTTTGTTAAGTCCTGATAGTTCTGCAATTGAGCAGTACAAGTGACAGCCGTGTGACATGATGGCATGAAATGTACATTTCAAAGAGAGAAGGATTACATACCATTTTTCCTTGATGAGAAGCTTTGAGATAAAATCTTTGGCCTCATCAGAAACACCTCGAAATTCCTCATCCTCAAAATCCCATCTACAAGCCAGGATATTGTTGAGAGTCTCATTGTCATCATCACCCAAAAAAGGAGACAATCCACTCAGTCTAAATTAAAAATAAATACGTTTACTCCTTTTGTCATTTCCTCTTCCTGTACATGATCGCTGATGTCCCATCTGAGACTGTTCTGCTACTCCTGGCCCTACCTTGCAACATGTTACTGGCTAAGAAAATCTCCAGACCATTCCCATTTTCTCTTCTACTTACATGTTTAAATAAAGTAACCACTCATCTTCCCTCTAAATTAAATAAATCAAGCATTACTATCTTTCATGTTAGGTCATATGTTCTAGACCTCTGATCATTCTTGCACATACCTACTGGGAACTTTCCAAGTGGTCCATATTATTCTGGAAGCGTGATGCCCAAATGCTCATGAGAGATGTGCAAAGAAACAGTAAAGAAAAGTTAATGGTGAATGGAAGAGGGGAGCGATTCCTGAACAAAGAATTTGGAAAGAGGCCTATGTTTTCTATTTTAGGTAGAGACTTTGGTGCTTTTTTAGGTACAAACTTTGTATCTATCTATCTGTCTGTCTGTTTGTCCTCCAATATAAGTGAATTTGGATGACTGACACATTTCAACATAGTAATAGTGTACACAGAAGAGACTGAAATCCTACTTACAGCATATAAGCAATGACTCCTACACTCCACATGTCTGTAGGAAAGGAGACAAACTCGTAATTCACAACTTCAGGTGCAAGGAATTCTGGAGTCCCAAAGTTAACTCGAAGTTTTTCCCTGGGTTTATATCTAGGCAATGGAAACATTAACAAAGGACAACAATTACAGCTGTAATTCAAATTGTATCATAAGTTATGTAGCACTTCACAGGATTTCAGAAGCATCCAGAACATTCAGAAGAAAAACAAGGATAAACAGAGGTACAAAGTAAAAAATAAATATACCCATACATACAAATGAAAAATGTTTGCAAGATTTTTTTCATACTTCACACTTATACCAACTGCTACACAATAGGAGACAGGAAAAAAAAACTCAGATTTCAAGGACTCCTTAGGACAGCTGTTATCATTCTGGGCCCTCTCCATATCACAGGCCTGGAATTTTTAACCAGTAAATCCTTCATTGAGGTTATGATGTCTGACTAAGCTAGCAAATGATATAGCATAGGTTATATCCTAACAGCCCCGATGGTCCCTTAAACCTTCTCCTGAAGAATCCCATAACTTTGAAGGCAAGAGACCAGACAAGACTGACCATTGGTTTTGTCCATTCTATCTGTTCCAGTATACCCATACATGCCCAATCAGAACCAGCCCTCTTTTGACCTTCCAGCTGAAAAAAGTCTTCAAAATTAATATTTTTTAATCAACAGGAAACATTCCTTACTAAAAGATACCCCTAGTTAAAAGAGCCACATTAAACTTGTTCCAATAACAGCAGGAGACTGTTCTGTATCAAATGTGTCATTGCAGAGATGTAATACCTTTTTCATTGTTTCCTAATCCATTTACCATTAGCAAGATCACATGCACGTACCTTCTTGCCAATCCAAAATCAATAATTTTTATTTGATTTGCTGCTCGGTTCACACAGAGGATATTCTCAGGCTGCCAAGAGAAAGCGGAAAACACTTCAATGAGAAACAAGAGTGACAAACTGGACTTTTAGTAAACTGTAGGGGAAAAAACACTGAAAACATTGCAAACATTTCATAAGCACCTTTTGCTTTCCTCCTTGGGCAGATTTCTCTGCATGGGAACTTCCCACTGCTGTCACATGGCAGATGGGGTTGCGCATTCTGTGCTTTATAACTGCTTTTTCTTCTTAGCTTTTCAATTTGACAAAAGGCAGCAGTTTAGATAAAGAACTCATTAGGGGAAGTGGAACAGAGAATGCAAGCTTCCAAAGAGAGTTTAAGGATGCTGGCATTGTGATTTTACAGACCTTAATGAGCTGACATTGGAATTTTTTGGAAAAAAAATTATTTTGCTGGGCTTTGAAGTTTATCTTACACCCTCAAGTTTCTGAGTTCATGAGTATTCTGGCAGTAACTGTCTGATTTAACACTGATATACTAGGGTAGTCACATCAACTTTACACTTTTCTCAGATATTTTAGTGAAAGGTGGGATTCACAGGTTAAATCTCAGTGGACTTTCATTAAGGCCAAATGCTGCTCTTCACTTCCCTGGTAGGAATCCAGTAGCTTCCATAGAATTACTCCATATTCATACAGAAGTGACTGAGAACAGATTTTGGCCAATTGTCTTTGAAATGTAAATACCTAAAATAGAGTCTCATATTCACTGCCAGCAGATTTATAGCCACTCTGCCTTGTTGCTCGTTGAGTCCTCTTTGAAATAAAACAGCCCTCACCACTTAAAACATTAGTTAACCTTTGTCACCATCACTAATTCATTTTACATGTAGGACTCTGTATGTCCACAGATTTTTATGGTCCTGGATTATTATGGCCAGGATGAATTTCTTGCTATTTCATGCTTTCTTCCCCAAACTCATCTGTTACTGACAACATTCTGTGAACTAGCAAAACAGAAGGGAGAAGGCATTGTGGGCTAGCATGTGAAGAGAGAGGTCTCTGGGAAGAATTTCTTGGATGCATATGTGTCTTTTTTGCCAGCATTTTGACTTCATACTCAAACTGTGCCATCTTCAAGAACAAAACACATACGTCCCTCCAAGTCACAGAAGCACAGAATGGCTGAGATTGGACAGGACCTCTGGAGATAATCTAGTCCAACATCCCTGCTCAGGCAGGGTCCTCTAGAGCACATTGCACAGGATCACGTCCAGGCGGGTTTTGAGTAACTCCAGGGAAGGAGACTCCACTACCTCTCTGGGCAACCTGTGCCAGTGCTCTGTTGCCCTCACAGGAAAGAAGTTTTTCCTCATGTTCAGACGGAACTGCCTGTGTTTCAGTTTCTGCCCGTTGCCTCTTGTCCTGTCCCTGGGCACCACGGAGAAGAGTCTGGCCTCATCCTCTGGACACCCTCCCTTTAGATACTTGTAGACATTAATCAGATCACCTCTCAGTCTTCTCTTCTCCAGGCTGAACAAGCCCTCTCAGCCTCTCTTCATAGGAGAGATGCTCCAGTCCCCTCATCATCTTTGTAGCCCTCCGCTGGACTCTCTCCAGTAGTGCCATGTCTCTCTTGTACTGGGGAGCCCACAACTGGACACAGTACTCCAGGTGAGGCCTCACCAGGGCTGAGGAGAGGGGCGGGATCACCTCCCTCCACCTGCTGGCAACACTCTGCCTCATGCACCCCAGGATCCCATTGGCCTTCTTGGCCACAAGGGCACACTGCTGCCTCATGCTTAACTTGTTGTCCACCAGCACTCCCAGGTCCTTCTCTGCAGAGCTGCTTTCCAGCAGGTCAACCCCCAGCCTGTACTAGTGCATGGGGTTATTCTTCCCTAGGTGAAAGACCCTGCACTTGCCTTTGTTGAACTTCAGGAGGTTCCCCTCTACCCATCTCTCCAGCCTGTCCAGGTCCCTCTGAATGGCAGCAGAGCCTTCTGGTGTGTCAGCCACTCCCCCCAGTTTAGTATCATCAGCAGACTTGCTGGGAGTGCGTTCTGTGCCTTCATCCAGGTCACTGATGAATAATACATTGAACAGGACTGGACCCAGTCTTGACGCCTGGGGGACGCCACAGGCTACAGGCCTCCAACTAGACTCTGCACCACTGATCACAACCCTCTGAGCTCGGCCATCCAGCCAGTTCTCAATCCACCTCACCGTCCACTCATCCAACCCACACTTCCTGAGTTCCCCTATGAGGATGTGATGGGAGACTTCTGCTTCACAGGTTTCTAGGCAATTGGATATTTATAAAGAAAGAGAAATGTGAATCTGGTCATTGATAAGCAACTGAAGCACATCCCAATAGGCATCTGTTCATTTGCTTAATCAGTTCAACAATATATATATATATATATTCAACAAGTACCAACATTAAAGATATAGTGTATTGACTCTGTTATTGCATACCAAAAACAGCAGCAGTAATAAAAACCTCACCAAAGAGAAAACCCTCCTGTGCACATTTTATTTCTTTTTGCTTTGTTGTAAAACTCAGGGATCATCATGGAGCTTTACAGCCAGCCATAAATCTAAAGACATCATCCCTTTTTATTTTTTTCACTAAAGAGAGGTTAAGAAACAAGTCTTTTATTTGACAAGAACTTGGAGAGGGAGGAAGACTCATCTCAAATGTGTAGTCTAACGAAAAAATATCTCTGCAACAAATGTTTTTTGAAGGGTGACAGTTAACCTTTAGTAATCAGCTAGCATAAGAACACGCAACTGGTTTTGCTTTTAAAAAAAGTGAAGGGACTTCTTGTGTATATGATTGCAGAGTGCAGACAACTAAGCAAGTACCTGTTGTAAAATAGGGTACAAATAAAAAAGGCGGGGGGAAGCCCCTTTTCTGGGCTTCCAGCTGCACAGGCAGCTGTTGCCTAACCTAACACAGACAGGCTGTATTTGTTACATCAACCACTGGCTATTTTTGTTACTTTCATTTCTACAAGCATATTTTAATGTACTTTCCCTTAAGTTGGCTAACTATTGATGCCTTTTCATGACCATCATAGAGTAATGCAGACCTTAGAATGGTATCCCAGGTTTCCACTGACCCTGAATGACCCTGAATTTAGTTTCGCTCATGCCTTGCTTTCTGATTGGTAAAAATGGGGATAAATCCTACCCCATGGTTGACATATATGAAGAGATTTGGTGCAGCTGATTTAAAAATACTTGCACAATATCTTGAGATGCAAACAGCAAAATTACAAATAGCAAAATACTGTAGTCAGCTGTGGGTTTTCTGTAAAATCAACCAGCGGAAAACTCCAGAGCTATGAAGCTTGATGATACGACTGAAATCCTCATCTAATTTCCTTACTCCTGTAATGATTTAACTGACATTAATGTGATCAAAGTAAATACACACTGGTTTAAGGAAATCAGAATAAGGCCCTCTGATGTTTCTGCCAAGGGAATCAGCTAAGCTGTATGGCCTATCCTTAGGCAAATGAATTTCCACAGTAGAATCCAAGCTGTCACTGCACAAAACATACATCTCAATTCTGTACCTTGAGATCCAAATGAAGAATGTACATTTGGTGCATGTACTGGATCCCCTCACAGATCTGTTTTATGAACAAGATGGTATCCATCTCTGTCAAATTGTAGTTTTCATCAATAATTCGATCAAATAATTCTCCTCCTTCCACACTGTTGAGAGAAAGATAATGAAGTGGTGACCAAGCCCAAATTTAATCCCATGAGGTTAAGAGTAACGCAGAATATGTACTAGCAACCTGTCTGAAATGCCATTACTTTTAATCGTTCACAGCCAGGGTGACTGAGGTGGATCTACAATATGAGATTGGACTCTGATCTGAACCTCCTAAGTACTGTGTTCTGATGCGTACTGGCCTAAACTTCTCCAAGGTCAGAGGATCCAGTCTCAATGTGTCAAGTCTCCCACTCATTGATAGATGCCAAAGTCTCAAATTTTGGATCTTATGCTCACTTGGATATAAATTTGTATTATTGAAATTAATGAAGTTCCATGGAAAATCAAGACAACATGTTGGAGAACTTGCATTTAAATCTGTGCTCTCCTCCCTCAGAGTTCAATAGGGACATGATTCAAGAGTTCAGTCTGAAGCAGTCTAAAATCACAATGGAGATGACTCCTGGTAGAACTGTAGCTTTTGTGATACGCCACTCAAGTAGGCCACATTCAGAGGAACGTCCGAGAAAGTTCAGAAGAATGAAACTCAGTGTAACTTTGTACCTTCTGCCACCTCTTTAATTACATCTTTTGGCTTCCTTAAAATAACATCTATTTGACATAACTTTAAGGCAGCTATTTTGTGCCTAAGTAGCATGATAACCTAGTATGAAAGACAGTTTGATCTATTCAGGCACCCAGTATAAATGGCTTCTCTCTATTGTGAGGTGCCTTTCCATTTGCCTCACAGAACTAGATATTGAGAGGTCTGTTTCTAAGTGGAGATGAAGTATATTGCTTGAAACTACAGAGAAGCTATATTACACAGATCTATCTTCAAATGGGGCAGTGGCTTTGCATCTTCTGACAACATCACTGGAAAAATATTTGTAAATGGCTCCACAGGAAGCCATTTCTTAAATTCCATTTCTTTTCTTAAATTCCATTTTTGGTTCCTGGGAACCTCTTTCACATGCTCTTTCCACCTGTAAGCAGCTCCATTTCTAATTTCAGGAGAAAGTAAAAAGGAAATGGACAATTCCAGCAAAAGTGGTAAAGATAGAAAGAGAAAGAAAACAACATACTTACTATTCCATGACCAGAACAATGTCATTTTTGGATTCAAAGGCATCATACAGCTGGATGAGGTTCACATGGTTCAGCTGGTTCATAACATTGATTTCATTCTTTACCTCATCCTGTAAAGAATAATGAGTATTATTGTTTCAGCAGCCTTTATCAAAGAAAGCTGCACAAACTAGCATATTGTTAGTGTTTGAACTGGACACCAACATTATCTTCATGTTTCCACTCCGGCTAAGCAACCCCAGGGTTTTCCTTTGATTGCTCCTATGGTGGCAGAAGTCAAGGCTACAGGCACTACTAGACTGAACTCACAGCTCAGACTGGGGACTGCTTCAGTAATAAGCTGGGCAGGGGGAAAAGGAAGGGGAGAGGAAGAAGGAGAGCACACACAGACAACTGGTGGGTTCACAGAGAGATGGGGAAAAGAGGAAGGCAGGATGGGATTTGTTTCACCTCGCTCTGGGTATACAAAATGAAGCTGTGTAAAAGAGGTCTAGGACAGTCCTCAGAACCTCCCTTTGCCATCAGTGGAAAGAGATGGTTACCTCCATTTTGTGCAACTATTTTAGACATGTAGTTTAGGATCGGTTGAGTCACTCACTGGAGCTGCCAGTCTTTCACCAATGACTACAAGGGGAGTCTCGATGACCAGCTTAGCCACAGACAGTTATACTTCAGACATCCACAGTTAGCTGAGCTGAATCCTACCCTTAAATACCATTAATGACACAGCTGTCACACAGAGAACGTTACGCACGCTTTTCCTGTGAAAGCAAGACCCAGACGGCCAGGAGGTTTGGAAAACAGGCCAGATGATAAATTCTTCTCATCTGCATTTGTGTTGAGGTCTGGAGCCCGAACCATGCCTGCTATCAGCATCCCTCACTAAGTCATTGACACCAAGTCACTGCAGCAAAGCCTGGAGTGTGCTCGGGAGGCAATGTGTTATGTCACAGACTGACATATTTTTACTACTAAAGAAAGCGCTAATAGAATTGACAGCAGAAAGGAAAAAAGAAAAGCTGAAGAAACACAAAGAGCTAAAAGGAAGTTGGAAAAATGAAGAAAAAAAGTCCAGAAAACCTGAAGAGGACTTTGATGAGTTGCTAGCAGTTCTGGAGGAGAAGGTAAATAGAACTGCAGCCAGTGGTAATCCAGCAGGTCCTGTGAGTGTGATAGCTTGTGAGCCACTTGGTCATGGTCTGCTGTGTAGCTGAAGAAAAGACACATATCACGCTCTACCAACCTTTTGTTTATCACCTTTGGCTTTTATAATTTTGGCTGCCAGCTTGAGACCTGTTGCTTTCTCTTCACATTTGTGCACTTGGCCAAATCGCCCTCTAGGGAAAAAAGTGAAAAAATTTCATCCAGTGGTGTTGGTATTGGCCCTGAATGTAATCTAGGTTATACACAAAGGAAACTATCCTCTCTCTCCCTACTGCGTTCCATTTGAATTGTTGTGCTGCTGTTTTGTTGTGTAAATTAGATCCGCTGCTAGTCACTTAAGCACACCAAAATCACACACTGTTCTAGCTGATATTCAACATATATGATTCACTAATACTCACTGCATTACCTCTGCCTGCTTTTAACATGCTATCAGCAATCTCAGGGAAGCCAACATTATATGCGGTATGCATGATAACTAACGTGAGCGATCTGCCTCTCTCTATCTCGTCCTCCTCTTCCAAGGGACAGTTGTGATTTTATGATGAAACAACACTGACCCAAGACCACGCTGCCATCAGAAATGACAATATCACTCTCTCTTAAATTATGGCAGCACAGGAGACCAGAGAACTACATGGCCTGTCAAATTAGCTCACTGATCTAGTAGAAAACATCTGTGTATTTTCAGGGATGGGATCCACTGCAGGAAGAAAGGCTACACCATGTCTCTGCCTCCTGCTGGTTGCAATGTAAAGTACTAAGCATCTTACAAGCACCATCATAAAGCCTGAGGGCAGCTGGCTGGCCTAGAATAATACCAAATACAAGCCAAGCCTGATGGTGCCAAACCTGCAGCCAAAATCCAAATCCACTCACGCAGTGAAATCAGCCTCCTGTTTTCATCCCTCTCTAATGTACGGCTAGAGCTTAGACTTTCATTACTTCAGTTCTAGTGAGGCATGTTGCTTCCATTCACCTCCCTGGGTGCTTGGCTGTAAACTTTTGCCTTGGTTTTTATGTTGATTGGGTTCGCTTGACTTACCCTCCCAGGATTTCATTCTTGCTGACATTATAGTAACTGCTGATACCTGCCCTTTTGGCTGAGACAATCCTGTGATCAAATGGTGCTGGTGGAGTGGGATTATCATCTACAAAAACAAAACAAAACAAAACAAAAAACAGACAGATAGCATAAGAGTGATCACATGTAAGGCTTGTCTATCTCTTATTTTAAATCCTTCTTTCCTGCCTATAAGCTCATTTAGGAACTGAATTCACCTACTATATAGATAGGTCCTTCTCTGCTATTTAGCAAGGGTTTTATTTTGGGAGCTCCAGCTCAGAAAACAGGGTGTTGTAGGGGAGCTAAGTTTACTAGGGTAACATCTTCTGCACAAGAGGTAGCAAAAAGCCCTCTGAGCCCCAGCCAGATGAAGACTGCCAAACTAAGCCAGTGCAGATTCACCCCCAGAGAGGGCCTGAGCAATTTGTTTGGAAGTTGTGGCCAGAACCTCTTTATTTCTAGCTCATATTTTTTTTTTGCCTCTGGGACTACTGATAGGGGAATATGTACTATAACTCTCTCGTAGGATAGGAAGAGAGACTGAACTCTCTTCTAGGCCCAGTTAGAAGAGGCTATTTGCCTGCTTATGCTGTTCATGGTGAAGAATTCCCTTCTCTGCTGGTCATCTGATTGATACAACTTTTCATTGTCCCCAGTGTGGTCATCATCTTTACAGATCACATTTATGGCTTGTGATAGAGCTTCATCCTGGCAGATAGCACTTGGGATTTCCTGTGTGGCTCAGGGTCCAGTGTGGTAGCGTGACAGTAAGTGTCACATGCGGCTCTGAAGAGTTTCTGTGCTTAAAAAGAGAAGGCAGATAAAGGTTGAAGAGGGGAATGGGTTCCCAAGATCATATAGGAGGACCTATGAAGTTTCAGCACAAATGTAGATCTCTTCTGGTATAATTGTCCAGACCTCTACACGCTGGATCACACTACCTGCTGGTGTTAAAATCCCTGCTGGAGACCAGCCCTGCATGCCTAATTTCTCTTCAGATTTTTTTAGGGTGTTGCTATTTCAATTTCATACCCACGTTGTTTTTCATTTGATTGATATTCCCGAGAGTGACCTTTGGCTGACCAAGGTGACAAATACTTCTTCAACTGGTTGGGAGGGCTAGAGCCGCAGCGTTTCAGTATGAGCTCTCTGGTTTGGAATGCCGGCTCCCTTTTGTGTGGAGCTTGTGAAGTAATTTTAAAACTGATCATTACTTCAGTGAAAATGATTAAAAACACAAACAAAAAAACCATGACAGCATATAGCTGGCAAGAACACTTTGGTCATTAATGTAACAGTGGATTGTCCTTATTCACAGTGAACATCCATTTTTCCAAGACGCCAGCTGTGTACCTAGAGTTTTTTGACAGTGTTATAACTTACATGGCCAGGAAGTTAGTTCATAGTCAAGGAATTGTGAAAAGCTGGGGCTCCTGGAAGTTTGCCACCTACTTGGGATTTTGCAGAGCTTGAACTGCATGTCCTTAAGCATGGGCCTTTGCCTGTTACCAACATTTAAAAAATGCCATGAACACCTCTACCATAAAGACAGAATTTGACCCTACGGACACAAACTCCAAGGGCCCCAACATGTAAGTTAGAGAAGAAAACAGTTTTGAAAAAAATCTTGCTTGGCTCTCAAATGCTACCAAACTTTGGGCAAGGAAGTGTTCATTTAAAGAGGCCTGAATGCATCAGTATGATCTTCTAATCTGACTCTCCATCTCAGTTTTTTTCCTAAGGAACATGAAAAATATCTCAATGTAGAACCCAAGTTTTAGTCCTCAAGATTTTCTCAGTGATAGACCCTCTATTTTTCCTTTCCTGCACACCAAAGGGGACATCTCCTTATTCAGGAATGACCTCCTGCTACAGATCTAAAGATGCTTCAAGTGAGCTGCCACTCTAATGTCATCCCTGATATCTGCCAGAGCCCAGGACAGCAAACTTGAGTTGAGAGTTTTAGTATACTATCTCCTGTTTCTATTACAGAATCCAGGAGCCTAGCACAGATATTTAATGAAAGTTTCCCTTTTCTACCCTCCCCACTGTCCCAAAGCAAAGAAATTCATTCTGTGTCTTACACATGCATGCACACACACACACACACACACACACACACACACACGCACAAATATATCTTCAGATCCTTCAGGCCACCATTTCATGAGCCATCATTTCATTTACAGAGATAAGCCATGGAAATTCTCAAGAAAAAGGTCTAATGTTAGAAATCTCTGCTTTAGCCCGGTGAGCACTGCATCAGAATTCAGTGTCTGAACATCATTTATCTGACTGTTCATCAGTCAGGGTTCCACACAAAAGTTTGTATTTCTGTATTTTATAGGTTGCAGTTGTTCTCACTTCAGATTGCAACGGTATTAATATGAGCAATCTGATTTTGTGGGCTACATCCAGAACATTGCAGATTCTGGTTTAACATGTTTTCAACATTTCCATAGGTCAATCAATTACATTCCCGGTTTTGCCACACATGATGAAATAATTTCTCCCTCCACTCTATGTCTACAGCTTTTGGCTCTCTGTTGTTAAAAGAAAAGAGAAAGAAGATAGTATAAGTGGAGTGGTTGTGGCAGAAGCAAATTAGTTGCAACTAATTTCCTGATTCTCAGAATCTGGCTTCCAAATGGAAGCCTTTAAGAAAATACAAGCCAGCTCCTCAGGTAATAAACATTGGTATAGTTTGCTAGAAGCAAACAGAACTGTGCTATTTCCCACGAGCTTAGGATGTGGCCCATGAACAACTGCTTTCCCTTGCAGTTACCATGCACTCCTTTCCCGTCTGCCAATTACGGTCACAAAATCATTCTCTTCTATAGATGTCTGTCTGATCAGCACCGTCAATACCAGTGGAATTAACTGCTTTGTTTCTGCCTTTAGGAACACTTCCCATAAGAGCTTTTTTAGGTTTACATATGCCATCAGCATTTTCTGCATCTAGCCTGCTCTTTTTGTTGTCATCTTTGTTTAGGCCTTCAGCATTCACTTGATGCTTACTACTACCACTATGCTCAAATTGGCAGGTCTGCTCAGTGACTGAACTATAATTTCCTGTACCTTTTTCGCAGCCTTTACACCTGCAAGGACAAAACATGGCATTAGAGTAGGGTACATTTAAAGTAGAGCAAATTTAGAAACATAGGTAAAAAATGCCTAAACATATATTACATTCAAATAACATTAGGTTATTTACTTCATGGTGTAAAATAATACGGTTAAATAAACTATTTCAACATTCACTTTGAACAATAAAATGACTGCTAAGTTAATCACTGCAGCAAAATAATTGTCCACTGCTGAAATGACTGCCTGAATTCTTCTGATTTTAATATTTAGCTATCTCTCTCCCCCTTAAAGCAATGGAAGAACACTGGGATTTCACTCTGTTCATAAAGGTTCCTGAGACCTTAAACTGATTTATCCCTGAAGGCCCATGAACAAATGCAGCACAGAATTACACTAAATAAGGTTACCAGTTTAATTCCTCAGGAAAAAGCGTTATGTTACTACTTAAGTTACTAAATCTTGTAGTAACTTAAGTCCCAATTGGTACATGGTCTAATATAACCTTACTTTGCTCACAGGTTACACGGTGCTGGAATATAAACACAACACGGAGACGGAGAATTCCCCTCAGAAATGAAGAATGGCCTAACGTAATTCTCTTGTTTCTAACCTTTCTTTTCAAGCAAAGAACGAACACACTAGGCTTGTACCATGTGTGGTAAATTGTTCGCCAGACTGTTTTTGAGGGTATAAATTCAGCTTCAAGCTCAGATCAGACTGGTAAACTCATTTTTGCTTTGCTATTGGGCTGGATTTTCACCAAGATTTATATTAATTAGCCACTTTGACTTGACACTTGAACTACATGGTTTTCTATAGCATGGGTCCCTTAAGAAGGGGCAGCCTGGGTTTCAGATCTTACCTTTCCTGTGGTGCCTCCTGACTGTGGCTTTCTCCTGCCTCATCTTCATTTTGGGAAGCAGCTGGTGGTTCATCATCCTCTTCTTCATTCTCACCAATTTCTCCCTCCTCTTCATCTTCTCTCTCCTCTTGTCTTTCATCTTCAGACACCTGATATTCCTCCTTCCTCTTCCCACCTGCTAGAGACTTGCTCTCTATCTCCTGCCCAGTTACCCTTTGACAAACATCATCAACAGCATCTTCCTGTTGCTTTTCTATAGTGAAGGATTGCTGAACTGAGCTCCTCCTGTATTTGTAATAGCTTTCAAAAGCCAAACTTTCTCCCTTCTCCTTTGACCCTCCGGAATGAAATTTGGGCGAATCCATTTGAAGCAGAACAGAACTTGCCTTCTCAGCATTTTCCTTGTTGAGCTTATAAACTTTCTCTTTGTGAGACCAGGACTGGCTCTTCTGGGTGGCCCCCTCTGTAAGTAAACAAATTACGAAGGAATCTGTCAGTAGTTCTCTGATAGTTAATAACCATATTAAATCAGGACTTGCACACGTAGCATAATTTTCTGTTGTTTTCTGAAGCAGGTACTTGCTTTTCTCTCCAATTTTCAAGGTCAGTGTACATCTTCTAAATAACAGTAGGGCTGTAAGTTTCAGCAGAGTACTCTCTTCTTTAAAATCAAGATACCTTGGGGGTTAGAGATTCTGCACCTTCAGACGCGGCACTGGAAATATTTTTCTCACTCAATCTTATTGTCAGCTAAGTCAAGGTTAAAAAACTCCTGCAAAGTGTTTTTTTTTTGAGCAGTTTGATACCACGTGCATATACACATGAAAAGTAGCTTGATGCCACTCAAACAATTCTCTCTCACGCTGGTGAGCACACACCTCAGCCAACCAACTTCACTGGAGCTACTCAAGAGAGTAAGGGACTATTTCTTTGAGGAAGTATGGGCTCTGTAGCTGTACCCACAGGGAATGAGAAACTGATTAGAAAAAAATGTATTCTAACCTGTGGAATCCGGTGGTTTCTGTTCTTTTATAGAATTTGTTCCTGTTTCACTCAAATACGACTTTTCTTTGATGACCTGTGGAGAAGACAACTGATACATTAGTCAGCTTATACAGTGTTCATATTGCATAGCAACTTATGGAACTGCAGCCTGATTTGTTTGGTCAAATATAAGTACTCTATGTGATCTAATTCAACCTTTTCTTACAAATGACGGTCCTGAATCACTATTAAACTGACTTGACTGGTACCAGTGTAAAGCAGGAGAAATGATTTCAGTTGTAGTCAACATGACTGTTAGCATAAACACAGACCAGAAAAGATCAGAATTGAGCCTCAAGGACTAAAAGAAACAACCATCCAGGAATGAGGTGTTTCCTTGCACCAGCCTTTTGCTGTTAAAAATTAGGTTGGTTAAATCAAAGCTATGAATATTTAATATTCTAATAAAATATCCCAAACTGTCTTACTGACAGATTTCAAAAAGATTTTTGCTATTAATCAACATCTGGTAACAGCATTTTTAATGAGCCAATAATTTATTATAGGGTGACCAATACAGTTACCAGGAATCAGAGCGTATAAATCATGTCAACTTTGTAGTTCACTCTTGTCTACATTTTATGATGGTATAGTGACATCTAGAGGAGCTTTGTACCAAGCTGACTCCTCATAAAATCTTCACTACTACTGTCACCTTTATGACTATTTACTAATATTCTTATGCAATTTGCTCAGTGTGCTTTTTGCTTGGCGACTCCTGGACTTGTAGTAGAACGGTGACCTCAGCAATCGATGTCTGCTCTTTCTCAATTTTCCTTTTCCATCTACCTGCCTCCTCTTACAGTACTATACGACAAGCATTAGTAATGGGTCCAAAGGGTGTGAAAACACAGACACCTCCAAATATTTTCCAGAGAGACTGCTTTCTCTCTGTGAGCCACCAACTGAAAACAGCAGAATGCATATTTCACCAAAATATACACATTAAGGCACCCAATTTTTAGCGTCTTAATCATGCAAGCGGTGCTGCTGCTTACTCATAATTGTACTCTAGGCATGAATTGGTTCCATTGTAAATATATGTTCTGGTAAGCCCTCTGTATTTCTTATGCTTTATTTTTTGACTTTAATTTATTAGACAATACAGAAAATAAGCAGGAAGTTAAAGCCATGTGTATCCTCTACAAACACTGAGTTCAAGGGAAAGGAAACTTCATGAGGAGCAAAGAGAAGTAAGAAAAACTGGGTGAAATTGCATGAAAGGATTTCAGTAGCGCTACTCCAGACAATCCTGATATATAAGGGACAAAGAAACTGTGCCATGAGCATGAGAATTGAGACCAACAGTTATCTGGGATGCAGTGGGTCCTACGAAGTTACAAGGTGAAAATTGAAAAAGGCCTAAATATCTAAGAACCCTTGAAATATACATTGGAGCCTTGCTCACATGGAATGTAAATATACATGTCGTAGCTCCAGATGGATCATAACAAAACAATTGGTGCTCATTTTGTTTTTCATGATGAAAAGTCCTAAAAGAAGAAGGGCAAGACCTTGGACTGACTCATTCTGCAATGTGACCGCAATTAGTAATGCACTCCCATTCCTGTAAGTATGTCAACCTCACCATGCCACTGTGGACATCAACTCTGATCAAATAGAGTCAGCTGAGCAAATAACCAGAGAAATAGTCTCCAAGCTCTTTGATGCATGGGGCCAGATTTCATTTCTGCATTCAGAATTAATTGCAGACACACAGTGCTTCCTACCAAATATTCCTGTAGTTTGCAGGTGTGAAATACAGAAGCCAGCTTTTGAAAATCCATCTAGTGGAACATTGGATGATGCTGAACATCTGAAACTGCTAAAGTGTTACATAAATTACTACAGTGTTTATTCAGGCATCATTTCTGATCTCTTATGTTTTAACAGCCGACGAGGAACTCATACTAATTTAAATGAGACAAAAAATGAACACAAAATGAAACAGATCAGAGCATTTACTGTTATCCTTCAGAATCAATACCTATGGCTGTTTGCAGTAAATATGGGGCCAGCATTTAGTGCACTAGGACAAGAAAAATTAATATAAGGACTAGATGCTTGATTGATAGTATCTGTAGACACAGCAGCAGTCTACATATGCATGTTCCAGTTTTCTCCATGCGGAGGGTTTTACCTTTAGCAGCAACATGTGACTTCAACTTGCCAAATCTTAATCCAGCAATACAAATAGGAACTTTCACTCACTATTTCTTTCCCTCAAAGCGTTGCATTGTGCTAGATTTTCCGGAGCTGACTGAAGTCAATGCATGGAATTTCTTTTGCAGGGTCGGCCGACTGCACTCTGGGTGAGACGCACAGAGCCCCCTTTAGTTTGTCTAGGACATATGTCACTGTGATATTCGACCCCCTCCTCCTCCTCAAGGTAGTGGGGGCAGCCCAAGACCATCACGCTTTTCTGAAAATCTCATCTGAAAAGCATGGCGGTCTGTTAACACCATCCAAAAAACCAGTCACCCTCTACTCTTCATAACATTATTGTTCCTTCAGTCTGCTAACAGTGCTTTCTTCAGGGTCCTTTTAACTTAATCCTTATGGGATTTTATTTATTTATGTATTTATCTTCCTGTACTTTGGTGATATGAGATATTTCTTTGGTCTGTAATTTCTAAAAATATAGGAAATAATATTTCTTAGTGGAAATTATGCCTCCACTTTATTTTTTCCATTTCTTTAAAGACTTGAATATATACAGCTATTTTCCCTGTTCATACTAGCCCAAAACTTACCTTGCAGTTTTCATTTTAATTCCAGAAAATATTAAATATGTAAGGCTACATTGTGAGCCTGCAAAACAGACAGAGGCAAAAAGGTGTGTGTATCTACACAAGCTGGTATTGTGTATTCAAAAGGCATTTTCTGGACTTAAACATATGCTTTCATACAGAGCACTGCTGGATTCTAAGTAATAGAGACAGACTAAAAGTCCATGCAGCGATAACAAGATAACGTGATATACTCAAGAGGCTAAAAGCTTAGCATAGACCAATGGAGAAAAACATTTTTGGAAATTATTCAAATGAACTTTAGAAAGTATTTTATGAAACCAGCAGAAATTAAGTAACAAGTAATCATATATGTGAATGTATTTTAACAGTAATTTCAAATGCAGTCAGAAATTAATGCTTTTTATAGACATCTGACTCCTTTTTAATGAGCAGTACTTAGTTAAATTCCTTCTTTGTACAGTACCAGGCCTTGTACAGTACCAGGCCTAACCTTGGAATGTTTTTCTAGCTAACTTTTGATTTTTTTATTCACCTAATAAAACTCTTTGATTTTTTTTCCTACTGCAAAAAATTTTATAATGAATGGCCTCATGAAGCAGCCCCAGGCTTTTAGCTAGATCTCCTTTATCACTCCATCACATTTCATTTGATGTCAATACATTATTCTGAAGATTCAGTTTCACTCAGCTAATACCAAGACACAGAAACTTGCACTTGTGAATAATACCTTTCTTTCTTACTCTCTTAGTGTCTGTTTCCCAGGGTCTTAAGATACTCTGCAAAGCTTTCTTATGACAAGTTATCCAGGTTTTGTATAAGACCTGATCATCATCCATTACATCCATCCAAAAAGATGCCATTGGTTTTGCCATCCAAGCACAGCAGAGTAGATGCTCGCAGCATCTGCACATTAGTATGTGGGAATAGGTACTGTATATGACAGAGATCTGGTGGCATTAGAATGCATGTTGATGCCTCCTGTGCTATCCCCCAAAAGCTGGAATCCATCTTCTCTTTTACTTTTGTGTTCCTCAATATATCCTCAATATAGCCTCCATTTTTTTTCCTTAAGAGATCCAGCAACATAAAACAATCAGTGAATGCATTTCTGATACAAACTTACAAATGATAAAAAATATATACATGGGAACTCTGCTTTTACTGACAGGTGGTACATCTGCTTCCATGTCACTATTTTTTCCTATATCACACAATCCGCAGGCACCTGCTGGCAAAAATTTTGACTCATTTGTGATCTTTATAGTGCTTCTTGAACTAGGTAAAGAACATACATTCTTCTGTATAAACTCAACTCAAGCCACAATTCTCATTCAATCACACATAAAAATAGCTCTGAGCCATATCAAGTATTACGCTTCCCTCACTAGGAAATACAGAGAATTTGTGTGTGACCTGTTGCCTTGTAATAAGGTAATAGTCTCTTCATGAAGACACATACTAAACATTGAGGAATTTCTTGGAATAACACCATCCTAGGTGGGAAGCTGAAGATTACTGAAGCCAAAGCTTCGTCCATTTCCCATTTCAGTTTGCCGACTCGACGCTCACTGCCCTGGAGATGTAGTAGTTGTCCCTTTTTGAATGGATGCTTCTTCCTGCCACACGGTTCTTGTCAAAACAGGCAGTCTTACCATCAAGAGCAGAAGAGGCATTCATGGAACCAGACTCATGACTGAGCCCATGGCCTATGGCGTGCTATCTGCTACAGTGAAGACACAGGATACTGAACTGACAACAGTAGGCTGCTTTTAAACATCTTGCACCTTAAGGTTCAGCCGCTACCATTTAAGAGAGTTAACATCAGGCATAAGAAGAGCTTTGAAAGCAAGTTTTTAACTTGTTGATTGGCAAAGTTTCAACATCTCCGGAATACATGGAGTCCTGCAATAATGACCACTAAAATCTCCCATCTCCTAAGACTAGACCATTCAGCATCCCTTGGCTTGGACATATGTCGTCCGATTGCATCTGAGAAATCAAATCAACCTGTTTCTATCACTCTCATGTTTCTCACCTGAACAAGTCAAGGGCAATATCAGGTAAGTGCAACTACTGGAGACCCATGTTGCTCATCTTACCAACATATTAGCCACCTTCACATCTGCCCCTCCTCTATACCACTTGGTGAACCATCATGTGTGGTGACTGACAAGGTCCCATGTGCTTCATAGGTGCACATGTGCTTCATATTCACCTGTGTCACATCCTCAAAACTTTCTGTGTGCAATTCTCCACATTTTTCACGTTGACAATAAATGGC